CATGTATTTTCCCATGAGGATTTCCCCATTTTTATCATATTTTTCAAAGGGCATATGATTCCAGAGATTTAGAACTCCCAATCTGAAGAGTGAGGAAAGATTAGTTTGTCAAATACTCAAGAGCCAAAAATTGGTAGTGTTTGAAGCCATTTTAGCCTATAATGAGAAATTCTTCTCTCTGACTTCTGACTGGTTGGTTTAACCTTAAGCTATATGCTACATGACTTTGTATATTTTTACAAATTTGCATTTAATGATCTGTCTCCAGAGGTGACTAATGAGTATATTAATCCACATATTTCCACCAGAGCTTCTTTTTTTATTTGCATTCTATAATTTAGAAAATGCTTCAAAACACAAAGCTTATTGTATTCTGCCAATATTTAGGAAATTATTATCCTTGTGTGTTTTAGAAAATTATTCATAAACAGCCTCAAAAGTAAGGCTTTGAAACAGAGATTAGTTTTCCTACTACTTAATAGCACAATAATTATTTTCATATTGTATTCTGAATCTTGAAGAACCACTGTTTTATAAAAAGATGATGAATTTGGGGGGTGAAAACTAGAAGTTGGCAAAACGTTTTGGCAAATACAAGAATGAAAACATATGGAGATTATTCATAAAATTCATTCCACAGATGTTTATGCCGTGGTGAGGCATTCGTTTGACAAAATAGAGATATGTCAAGGTAGAAAGTGCTTGAAGTCACTGGTTTTTGTAGTGACCATAGCAAGGGTATTACCTATGTTGTCTTAAAGTCCTGGGCTGAAATATCTAAGGTGGATGCAAAAGTATAAGCTTATGTTTCTCAGAGAGGAAAATATAGCAGCTGTGAATGAGATGTGAGTTTAAGGTTGTTTTTGAATATGAAGAATGAGGATGCATCTAAAATACAATGTAGAGCCCTTAAAAGCCAAATCGAGACCGAAACACTGGTGAGTTATTGCCTGTATCAAACCAAGTCCCCAAGCAGTAGCCCACCAAATGTTTGCTAGCCTAGGAGACAGCAGCAGCTGACTGAATGGGGAAGAGGAAGAGGGAATCAGAGCTAAGGACTAGGACTAACAGACCTAAGAAAATGCCCCTGGAGATGATCTTGCTAAGAACTATCTGCAAGCTCAAGAACTTGGCTACCTGGTTTTCCCTCAAGCTAATACTCACTGACCACTGAGTCAGGCATTTTTAGGAAATGCAAAGTGGCAATCATTCTGCCTATCCCCCGTCTAAATTAAAACCCAGAAGCAATTTTGGATTAACTCTCCTTTGACTAAATTCTTAGGCATCAACTTAGCTTTCGGTTCAATAATATATGTGAGATTGATTTATTAATGCAAAAATAAAACCATTTTTAATAAAAAGTTTTTATACTAGTCTGTTATTTTCCACTGTAAAGCCTTAAAGTTAAATGTTAAAATTCCTATTATAAAATTCCATTTAATGATGGTTGGGTAGCAATAACAATCAGATGAAACCTTTCCGCCACTAGCAGTATTTTTATGAAACTATATTTTATATTAAATCACTCTTGCCACCATCATATACTGTTATTTATTTGCTTCGCTGGATTTAATATAAAATATTCTGTTCAGAACTTCAAAACTAGATAAGGACTTTTTCCCTCATGTACATTTATAATACAAAATTTTAACCTGACAACCTAAAGACATATTTGAATTTCTGGAACTATTCTTTCTATAGAGGTTTTCCTCTGTAAAACTGAGGTGATAATAAACAAAACTGCTGTAAAGATTAAATGAAATAATGTAGCACAGTGGTTGGTATGTAATAAATAGGCTTCAATAAATTTTTAGCCTAATCCAAAATACATTTTGAGAGATTTGCTCACTAATACATTTCTGCATGTACTGCAAATGAATAACACTGTAAATGTTGTTTCATAATACATTTACCAAATTTTAAATATTTTTTATTCTATAAAGTGAATTTTTTTAACATGAACATTCAATGCACATCATTCCAACTACTTAAAATAGCTGTGTCTTTACATTATTGTTGATGATTCAGGTTTTCCTATGAGAATACAAAATAGTCACATTAAGGGGTTTTTTATTTTTGAGACGATCTCACCAAGTAGCCCAGCTGACCTTGAGATCCTCCCGCCTCAGCCTCCCAAGTAGCTGGGATCACAGGTGTGCACCGCCACCACACCTGGCAAGGGGTTATTTTATTCTATCTAGAGATGTCAGTAAATTGTGAGGAAAATTCTGTTAATTATTCAACATAGCATATTCTAAATTAAAATTAAGCTATTCAGAAGATCCCCTGAACAAATATCTGGAAAGCAAGAGCACTTTAAAAAAAAAATAAAAGTAACAAAATAAAAGTTTTCCAGTGGTTTTAAATTGTCTCAGGTTGCACCATTTCAAATTTCTTCCTGTAATTCCATGTTCCTGTCTCTTTAACTTCTTTTGATTAAACAATGTTCCTTTGCGTTGACTGCCTATTTTCTTTTTGTGAACCCGTCAGATCTCTCCGTCTTGTCTTGTGTAATTTAAGAGACTTTTATGTAGTTTTCTGAGAGACTATCACAAAAGTCCAACTGGGAGAAAAATTTGCAAGGTTCAAAATGAAGGGTCATTATTAACGCTGTCTTGCCCATAATGAATACATGGACTCTCTCGTTCATGCATGGCAGGATTTTAACTACAGGAGCAGAGGTAGAAGCTTTTAAATGAAGTATTATGAATAATATCATTGAGTTACATGAGCTTACTTTAATTGGCATTTTTTTAAAAAACTTGCATTGTTTAATGAGATTGGAGAACTATAAAGAAGCATGTCTTTGGGTATGGACTTATCTGTAAGTCTATTCACATAAGTGTTTCTGTGGCTGAAAGCACATTGTTAGAAGTTGTAATTTCATATGTCCTTAGGTTAATATCATATATCCAGTCATCAGCAGGATAGTATGCAGAGTGAATATTCAACACTGTAAAGCTAAATGCAGAAGAAGAACAAGCAAGAGTGGGTTTTCTCAATTTTGAAGAGAGGTTAATTTTAAGTGCTTTTACTTTATCAAAGTACTCCCGACTTGTGTTCAACAATCATTGGCACTAATGATGTTTATGTGGCTTGAAGAAAATTACACTTTTTCTTATCATTTCAGTGCCCAATATCTTTTTTTATTACAGCAGACAAATCTAATTACTTCTTCTGATTAATCTCAATAGCACTGATTTGAATCATGAATAATTCCTTTCTAGTCAAAGCAAAACCCTAAAGATTTCAAAGAAACTTTATTTTTCATAAGCACATTGTATAGAGATGCCAAATAAGAAAATATATTAATTTTTAGCAGATGGACAACTGAATAGGGAACTAAAGGTTTATTTGAACATATTTATTATATATGCTTTACTATTTTAAACAGAGCTTATAAATCTGATCTCTCTCGTCTGATTAACATCTCTTTCAAGTCACTGAATGCCTCTCAGTGTATCCATTATATATATATATATATATATATATATATATATATATATATTTACTAGTGTGCATATTTTATATGTCATCATATACCCTTGGCACTCCCCACAGTACTGAGTCCTGTGCCTTGAAGATAAAGAAATAGTAGCTAAGTAATATTCCATCGTGTATATATGCCACATTTTTTTATCCATTGTGAAGGACACAATGGAATATTACTCAGCAATAAAAGAGAATAAAATCATGGCATTTGCAGATAAATGGATGGAGCTGGAGAAGATAAGGCTAAGTGAAGTTATCCAATCCCAAAAAACAAATGCCCAATGTTTTCTCTGATATAAGGAGGCTGACTCATTGTGGGGTAGAGAGGGAGAGCATGGGAGGATTAGACAAACTCTAGATAGGGCAGATGGGTGAGAGGGGAAGAGAGCAGGCAGGGGGTTAGAAATGTTGGTGGAATGTGATGGACATCATTATCCAAAGTATATGTATGAAGACACAAATTGGTGTGATATATATTTTATACAACCAGAGATATGAAAAATTGTGCTCTATTTGTGGAATATGAATTGTGATACATTCCACAGTCGTATATAAAAATAAATAAATAAATTTACAAATACCTACAAAAAATAATATCTAACATTAATTATGCTCTTGCTATGTGCTGTTTACCATTCTAAATTTTGGGGGGATTATTAGCTCCTTTATAAAGGTGATAAACCAGATAAAAAAAAAAAGGCACCACTATAATCTTCACTTTATAATGGAGGAAATAGAAACTCAGAACAGTTAAACAATCTACCAGAATCACATAGTGGCTAAGTGGCCACGGCTGAGCCTGGCTTAAGAGCTCTCAAACACATTCCTACTTCCCTGCCTCCGGAGACCCCTGCTGTACATTGCCCATGATGGACTTCAGAGCACTAAGAACTTATACCTCAGCTTCACTACCATTATGATTGTTTGTTTATATGATTAACATCTGTTCCTCCTATTTTCCAGAACATATTAATATACTACCTAGTATTTCATAGATGAGTAATAGAAGCTAACATTTATCAAGCTTTTGCCAAACCAGGTACTATGCCTTATTATTTCGCCCTCCTAAGGGCTCTCTAGGGTTTCTGCTAATTTACCTCCACTAAACAGAAGAGGAAACTGAGGTGGAGAGAGTTGGATGCCTTACCTAAGATAACTCAACTGGTAAATACTAAGGGCAGGATCTAAACTCAATGATCAAGCCACAGAGCTATGCTCTGAGTAAATGAAGGGTTTAATTATTGAAAATCTATCTTGGAGCATCACGTAAACAATCCATAGGAAATGACAGTAGAAAATATATAGACAAGCAAAGCAGAAAAGATAGAAGCACTTCAGGCACAGGAAATAACGTGGATAAAATGCCACAGAGAAGCACCTGGAGCGCAGTAAGTGCTCAATAAATACAAATGAAGGAACGGACATCCTTATAGTTCATGGGTTAGAAGGTTTTGTACTTCTAGTGCTGTGACTAATGCTTTATGTGCCTGTTGTTCTTTTTCTTTCAGTGCCACCGTGGGCCTTAATTGCCATAGCCATAGTTGCGGTCCTTTTAGTCCTGACCTGCTGCTTTTGTATCTGTAAGAAATGTTTGTTCAAAAAGAAAAACAAGAAGAAGGGAAAGGAAAAGGGAGGAAAGAATGCCATTAACATGAAAGATGTGAAAGACTTAGGGAAGACCATGAAAGACCAGGTAATGTACATATCTGTTATTTATTCGTGGACACTGTCAGAGATTAATAAATGGTTTACTATTTTGAACCAGGTGATTTTAGAAACAACTTATGGCTACATGTCATTGTCATAATGAGGCTTCACAATTCCTTCGGTCTGCTCAACATCTCAACGTGTCAAGGAAACATTTGGGAGTTTTTTCTCTTGTCCTTGAGCATAGACAGGAGAGGAGAGCATCCACCACCACAGGACACCTCCCCATGGGTGCAGCGTATGAAATGATGTCTGGATATTTTATTTCATCTGTTTAGCAATATTAACAGTCTTGCAAAAACAGAATAAAGAGTTCTGCAATGCTTTCCCTCTTGGGAAAGGGATTTTTCCAGCTTTCTCTGAGTTCATAGTGACTGTTAAATAACTAGGTTCCATAGCTATTCAGCATTGGTGAAAAGTACCATTCTTACATACTCATCTAGCCCAGTAACTGGTGCTCAAGAGCAATGAGTTATTGGGGGAAGGGAAATATGAGCCAGTACCAAAGAACAGAACAGAATTTGAAGACAAAATTCTTGTCTCCTCACTTATGGCCAGTTAAAACCACAATGCTGATTGATATAAAATCCATCTGGCTGGATTGTCTTCCCAAGTCTAAGGAAGCTTTTTGGATTCCCTTTATGTTGCTATTTTAAACCAAATTAACTGAACAAGTTAGTTCAAGATAAAGTCTTCTATTAATAATGATAATTATTAAATGAGCCTCTTCATTTTGAAAATACTCATACTGAATATTTCTAAAGTATATTTAATTTGTATAAAAATGTAAATGAAGAGATTTTGTAATAGAAATGACATTTGCAGTTACCAGTGTTTCCCATCAGATAATTCAAAGCAATCGATTCCCATAGCAAACTCTATGGGCAATTTTATCAGTTCATCTTACGGTTTTAATTACTATCAATAGAACTTGTAAATATGTGTAACTCCTTAAAAACAGTCTGATCCAATGTTAGGACGAGCATTTTTAAAACATTTGCATCCTTTTCTACTTAACCGCATACTCAGTTTGAGTTTACACAATTTTTTCTTCAAGATACTGTGATATCTCTTAACAAGGATTTCATGAGGCATGTTTTTCACTCCGTGCATTTCTGCTTACCTTCAGAGCCATGGGAAGGCTGCAGAGCGCTTTGGCCCAAGCTCGAAATAACAAGAAGTCAATTTTTTCTCACAGTTTCTAATCATAATTACAGAAGCTCAAACACATGTGTTCAAATACAGATGTCTAATGAGGATTTTTCTCATTGGTTAATTTGTTAAATAGAAACTAAAGTTTTGAATCATGTCTTGCTTTACTTCAACAAGCAGAATTAGATACAGATTTCTTTAAACATTTTATTAGGACATTAAGTATAGAAATAATCTCCCAGATGGAAATGGGACTGAAAAAAATGTGTGTACGTTATTTTAGCAATATCTGGGAAAACAATAATTTGCATATGCAACACTATCATTTTCATAATTACCATAAAATTTAAATGTGATTTCCTTGTGTCCTGGGATTTAAAAGGAAAAAAAAAAGCACTATATAATATTAAATTATAACTATGGCATTTCTTTGTAGGGTAATACATCTCTATTTTTATTTTTGGAATTTGTTCTGTATGACATAAGATTATAATTTATAGCATAGTGGTGGTGTTTATTACCCCTGTTATGAGCTGGATAAATGACCAAGACCTCAAATAAGGATTTAATGATGCTAAATCTTTCATCACTCACCTATTGCTTTAGAAGGAGGAACAGAGAAAAATTAGTCAAATGAAGAAATGATAGTTTTTAATAACATGTTGTTGCAAAGTAGTTAGAATTTTGAACACTCAAAAAGGTATTTTTATTCATTTTAAGTCCACTTAGGACTGCAGGTATTATTTCTAAGTTGAGAAAAATTAAGTACACAAATGAAACATAATTTGGATAAGTGAGAATAGGTCTCAATGATAAGCAATTATATAACAGTAGCTTATGCTACTATTTGAGTCTGACCAAAATAGTTAATAATGGAGTCTAACATTCTATAAAGAAGAAGGCTAAAGAAGAAAAATAGAATGTATAAATTTTAGGAGGATTATATGTAACATGGTGATCATTGGATGATCTGAATTCAAAACAGCATTAACACAAATTTAAATTATTTTTTAAAAAATTACATTTTCAAAATATTTTAAGCAGGATATTGAGTGACCATGGGGGAGACAAATGAAGATAGTTATTACCTTCTTCAAAGCAGTACAGATCTGAGTGGTTTCTAGTTATTTCTTATGCTAGTTAGGCTTTAAGGCAATAAGTATTTCCCATTTCCATCCATATCAAACTTACAGAAATTCAAATTGCAGTATTCATAGCTACATGTCTCTAGAGTACAGTTTTATAACCATGAAAATTTTTAAAACATTCAGCAATGACTGCAAAATTAACTGTAGATAAATCATGTACATGGCGTAAGACACATGCATGTGTCTTGAATCTTGAGAACACTCAACATGCAGAGGGAAGGACCCTTGTGTAGTGATAAGTCTGGGAAGGTCATTTCTCCATAGTGCTCACTAATGTGTGTGGATATTTTAATTTTTATTTCTTCCTTCTATGTCCTCCTTATCTGTGTTGTGTCTCATGACTGTTCTGGACTGTCCCTTGCGGTAGGTTTCCTCTGCTACTTAGACAACCCTAGTCAATGCTGAGGTACATTTGTGGCCTGGCAGCTGAGGCTCCACAGCTGAGGGCGTACCATTCTGACACACATCAAGAGGCTGAACTAAACTGATTTTTTAGAGATAAAGTGTTTTCATTTTAAACATCTCTGACATAGATTAAATACAACAGTATTAGAAAGCTCAACTTTTAAATTGTTGGCTTAGAATGAAAATTCAGTTGCTTGTACTACCTTCTTAGCGAACCTTATCAAATCCCAATCAGAACAATGTTAACGTAGAATGAACAAATGCTCCTTCTGATGGTTGTGAACTAAGCACCTTGTAAATGTCAATGCAAACCATAAGCAGGTGCAGTAAACCTTTGAAATTTAAAAGTCCTAATGTTCCCAGCACAGCTTTGGCTATTGCAATTTATCAGACCTCAGAATTGCTGGGTTTACAAGCTTTTTCTTCCAAATTTTGTCCCATGGGGGTGGGGAATATTGCTCTGGAGATATTATAATAGCTGCTGATTTAATAGGTCAGAATTTAATGCAACAGTACAGAAAATGTCTTCCTTAAGCTCAGCCTTTGGTACAGGAATGGACTTAATCACTTCAGTGATGAACAGTAGCACTGAGAAATTATCAAAAATCTAGTCCTATTTCATGGAGAATAATTGCAGAGATGGTTCTGCACCTTCTATTTCAGTAAAAACCACTAGGGAGAAGAAGATTTAATATCTCAACTATTTTCAAAATGTACTGGGCTGAAAGATGATATATAAATTGTCAATTTTGAAGAGACTTTTGAAAAAGTATTTTAATTCTGAACTTTTTGTTGTGATTATAGAGTAACAGATTTTTCAACAGAGGTATGCATTTATTATTTTGCTATTATTTTAAAAAATTAAAATCTACCAGGGAGGCACATTACATTAACTTCAATTTTCTAAGCACATTTTCTTTGACACTGCTGAAGACATAAACAGCAAGTTTACAAAGGGCTACGGGAATCCACTTCCTAAAGTTCTCTAATTAATTCAGTAGTTTTTTTCTTGTCACTTCTCTAGATTCTTTTACTGGCCTCCCATCACCACCTCTCAAGGTTAGAAGATTAGTATAAAATTCTTAAATTTTAAATTGTTTTCTGCTTTTGGCTATCAGTAAAACAGTATCTTAATATGCAAGGAACTATCCAAGTATAAATTAAACTTACTAAATTAAATGGGGTGTGGCTAACCCTATTTGAAAAGATTTCTAAACAAGTGTGAATATATATTAATGGTAATTTTCAATTTCCACACTCATTGTAGGCCACCGAGAAATTTCAACAAGCACAATAAGGAGGCATCTCTGACAATAGCTCAATTGTCTGCTTATATGATCTTCTCACCTAAGAGAAGAACTAATGAATTTTATTAATCTAGGAAGCATCCAACTCTTTACTTTTTAGTTAGGTGGAAAGAAGCAAATGGGGAAATCTGGTAAATTTAGTGACTGCTTCCACGGAGAGTCTCTGTGCAAGTGGGTGAGAGCAGAAAAAAAAAAAATCTATCTTCTGATAATGATGAGCATAGCAGAGAAAAGACCCTGTAGTCTTGCAGATGGGTGTAGCAAGGTGGTGAAGCCATAGTCTGACAACTCTGATGGCTATGTGAAGCCTGGTTATACTTTTTGCTTTTGAGTTCTGTAAGAATTCTTAGATTCAATTTAAGAGCTGACAATAGTTAAGATTCCTTTGCGTTGTCAGAGATAAAAAGCAATCTATCACTCATCTCTCACTCTGATTTCTTTTGAGATCCTACAGTAATACATATACATCTAATACATACTCATGTGTGCATGCACACAAGCAATGAAAATACCATAACCAAAAACTAGGGACAATATTTGCTACATATAGCAACAACAGTATCAACACCACTAAACTAAAAAAAACTTCTACAAAGCAATAAGAAAAAAGCAAACAGCCCAATGGAAAAAAATTACCAAAAATTATGTATAGGCAGTCCCATAAAATGCAAATTGCTGATAAAAGAATTTTTAATTTTTTCAACCACACTAGTGATCAGGGAAATATAACTTCATAATTTTTAATTTTAAATAACCATAGATTTCTAATTGTTCTAATTTTTATAGCAATGAGTATATATCCCCCCAAACCTTTGAATATTAATAACCAAATAAAAATTTGGGCAAAATTTGGGCTAATTTTAGGAAAATACATTCTGCATTTTGATTTTTAAAAAGAAAGGAGCATTTGGACACATTTTATGTGATCATGGGCTTTCTAGTATTTCAATTTATATTGCACTTAAGTTTTGGATACTAAAGATATTTCATTGGCCTGACTGAATTTTGGGGGTTTACTACCATGATTCTTTCTTAATGCAAAATAAATTTTATACCATTTGAGTTTTTTACAAAATTGCAAACATATTTTTTAACTTTTGATATCAAATAGACTCTTAAATCAATTTAATTCAGCCTAGCTTTCTGTGGAGCTGTTATGAAAATAAAATAGTAAACTTCAACTGGAAGTAAACTTTTCTCTAAACATGCATTTGCTGATGGCATGTTTTTTCCCTCTTTCTCCTTAACAATTACAAATGTATATATGAAACAAAGGGAATGAAAGTTATCTAAAGGTCACCTACTTATCTTTTCCATAGGAAGTAAGGCAAGAAAAGACCATGCATTTCATATCAATTATTTCACTGCATGTAACAATAATGTTTTACATGATGCTGAGCATCTTTTTTAAACCACAAGAATGTGAAAATTGGCCTGGTTAATAGCATGTTTATCATAGTAGAAAGAAAGAAGCAGTTCTATCAGAGCCAAATATAGTACCAAGTTGACATTTTCTTTGCAACAATTTTACATTTCTTGCTTGCAATATTCTGAGGGGCTTCTTCCATTGCTTCCATGTTGCTTGCTGATTGGGGGGAAAAAATTCCGTGCACTAGTGGAATTTAAAAAAATATGTAAGCAGCAAATGTGAATGTGTGTCAGACAAACAGGTTTCTAGCATCTTAGTGCTTGCTTTCTAACAGCTTGGAAGTATGACTATAGGACGAGTTTAATTTGGATTTTGGTGAAAATTCCTTCGAATTCACATATGATCCCTTTTCCGACTCCTAGGCCCTTAAGGACGATGATGCTGAAACTGGTTTGACTGATGGGGAAGAAAAAGAAGAACCCAAAGAAGAGGAGAAACTGGGAAAACTTCAATACTCACTGGATTATGATTTCCAGAATAACCAGGTCTGAGGGGAAAAATGTCTTCTAATTCCATTACATTTTCTGAAATTACCAAGTAGAAATTGAAGCAAGATACTTCTTAAAACATTTCATTTGCTGTGAGGGAAATGCAATTATCAAAGCTATTGATGAAATAATTTCTAAGTACAGGCAGTCCCCTACTTGCTAATTTAACTTCTGGTAATTAGAATTCACAGTATTCAACCGATTACATCTACTTATGACACTTCCAGCAAGCAGGCAGAATACAAATTAACTTGAAGCAGTCAAGTCACTCTTGTCCTGATGGATCCCTCAGCCTGAGCTAGAAAAACGTTCCTTGGATGTTGTGGGTCTAGATCCAAACTAGGGGCCTTTGGGTTGGGCTACCATTTGAAATAGTAAAACTGCTTGATAAGGAATCACAGAAGGAAAATTGACACTAGTCCATGAATCTTACAAGTACAAATGCCTTATATAATGTCCAGTGCTAATGGGATTGCAATTCTAGAAAAGTAGAAAGACCCACAACTTTATTTTAGTGCCCTTGAATGTGGCCCAAAAGTGAAAAGAAAAATCACAAAACAGACATTTCTACTTCAATTTCTCGAAAAGTAGAAAAGGGTCATTTAGATGAATGATATCATTTATCCACTGCCTATTATCAAGGTATCTCAAAGATAACAGTTAAAAATATCTCTCTGAAGGATTTCTAGGACCCATGATCTTGACAGACATAATCCTAAATGTTCTGAATTGTTAAAGAAATTAACAAGTAGTTGGGGATGTTGATCTCTGGCACTGCAAAGAAAAAAGAAAATTAACAAGCTAGATAAGAATTAGTGGAAGAAGCTAAGTTCAAAATCAGGTTGTTAAAAATCTTTATAACAGAGCCATTCTCTAGTGAGGGGAGCTCAAATCTCTCTGGCACAGTTTGCTTCTTCACCCATCAATTCAGGGGATGAAGAACAAATATCTATAAATACAATTGCTAACAATCCAGCATGTGCTAATGATACCCAGTTTGATGAGCAATAAATGATCAATAAATCAAACACCCATGTTCAGCTTTGATGACCAACATTCAAAATCAAAATTCTGAGTAGTTGTAGAAATTCCGTGTTTTATTTAGGAATGGACAGTTTAAATAATGCTTTCAACCTTTGAGGGTTCCCCCTGAGGGATGTGTGGAATATACTGTCATATGAAAAATATTTTTATTTGATCAGCTCCATTACAGCCCTGGCTAGTTATTTTGTAATACTTTCTAGAAATCTGCATATTGATTATAGGTATGGATTTATAAAGATTTATAGTTATACCATTTACAGTCAATTAAATATGGCAGTCAAGGTCATTTCTATGTCTTCTACCAAAATTTGAGCACCAGGACTTGATTAGGAACAAAATCTTCTATTATCTATATATTCCAGGAAAGCTAAAGGTCAACTTATGTTACCAAAAACTAAAAGATGATCTAAAAATATCCTAATTGTGAAGCTGTCAAGGTGGAAAGAAATGTAATATTTATTTGTTAGGCAGAAGTCAAAGGGAGGTTAGAAGAAGTAACTCCATTTCTTATTAACAAATATCTAAAAATCTAAACTAAAAATGATCTACTTTAAAGGAATTTCAGTTCTATTTCTAACTGAAAATTGAAAAAAAGGAAAACGGGTTATAAAAAGCAGCAATGAAGAAATAAATTCTTGCTTTTTCACACTGCCACATAAAGGCAAATACCAAATACCAATTTAGCAAAACAAGAGTCATATTGTTTGCTTCACCAATCATGTCTTTATAATCTAATGCCACTTTAGCTATTCTTGGACCATCTTTCTCTGTTTTGTGTACCCACAATCCAGCAGTCATTGCTACTGTTGTAAGATGAAACCACAAAACACATACTGAAACTTAAAATGGAAACAGCATACTCATTCAGGGTATGATCCAGGTTAAAAATTGAGACAGCTAGCCAAAATGCACTTAAGACTATGATAGGTAAGTTTTTTAGAAAATGGGTGTAATTTTTTAAGGAGGTAAATTTGCTTTTTCATTCTACTAATTAAAAATCCACAGAACCAAATGTTCAGGCTCTTAAGTGAAAGCCTATGGCATGACAGCATTTACTGAATAGTATGTCCCTTGAATCACAAAAGATCTACTTTTGTTTCCCATGTGGATTTAAATCAGTCTGCTGACATAACTCTCCAGTGGCAGAACTGCTGGAATAGTCCACATACACCTTTTTTCTTTTTAAAATGGTAACAATGCCATAATTTCTAATATTCACAGAGATTTAGTCTTATATGAGTAAAAACACAGTGTTTGACAAATGCAGAGATATCTGTTGTATTTGGAAAAAAATCAGTAACATTGTTGTTTAACATGAAAACTATATCTGTCATCTCCCCTCCCTTTCTATGAAGCTTAAATTATAATTCTTTATTTCAATGTCTTATATTTAGATACAAGAATTATTGGATAATAATCATTCTACTGTAAGTTAAAGTAAAAATTAGCTGGCACATAGTGAAGGTCAAGGATGACAGAAACTTGAATATTTTATTTCTTTAATCTCAAAATATTACCTGATTTCTAAAATATTTCTATTGCTAAACAGAAATAAAAAAAAAATTCTACTTAGCTGGTCTGAGACTTTGGTAAAGAATAAAAATGTTCTACTTGTAATTACAGACTTGTGATTGTTTAACAATTTATTTCCACTTACAAATCATGCCTGGGAAAGAAAAACAATGCACAAGAGCTTTTAGCAACTGAAAAGTTATTTGATTGCAACCCTTTTGCAAATATGAATTTCATATTTAACTATAATCAGCAACCTTTAAAAAGCCTCTTTTGTGCTTAAAACTTGGCTTCCTAGAGTCTGCATCTGTCATAATTGGGGTTCTGAAGTCTAGAGAGCTCATTTCATTTGCCTTCCGTGTTCAGATTCACATGAGAATAAAAGTTTATTGAAAGCAAAGAGGAATGGGGAGAAATTACAATATGCATCACTGTGAACAAATCAATCTTTTCCAAAGTGTCACCAACTTTTGTGCTTGTTGCTTCCTGTCATTCATTTCAGCTGCTGGTAGGGATCATCCAGGCTGCCGAACTGCCCGCCTTAGACATGGGAGGCACATCTGACCCTTACGTGAAAGTGTTTCTGCTGCCTGATAAAAAGAAGAAATTTGAGACAAAAGTCCACCGAAAAACCCTTAATCCTGTCTTCAATGAGCAATTTACTTTCAAGGTATTTTTTTCTTATGTACTTATCACTTTTCCTTTGTTGTTTTAATACTGGTTTTATCCTGAAACAGACATACACATGAGCACATATTCAAGGACTTAAAATGATTGTATTCAGAATATTTTCAGTTTTTCTCTTTGGTCTATATTATGCTTAAGTGTGGTCAAGGTAGGAGTTGCCCATCACTTTTCAGAATGGAATATAGCCTGATAACATGACTATGATGTCATGGTCACATCTGAAAAGTGAGGTCAACTTCAAATGTGCTAATAGGCTCAAACACACACACCCAGAATAAAGGCAAAAGAAAGAAATCATTATTTCCCTGAATTCCAAGTTCCTAAAAATAGGTAAACCCTGTTGCAATCAGAATAAAGGAAGCTATGTTCCATGCTTAAATAGTACAAATAGATATGACTCTTGTTGAAAGCTCTTCATGTACAGGGGCAACTTGAAAACTCTAGACCCATTCTTCTTATCAATGAAAAGAATATGAACACATTGTTTTCGGCATTTCTCGTATTTTTTCCTCTACTCTAGGCTCTTCGGATATTCTTCATCTTCTTAAGATACCTCAGTTGACAAACAATAACCAAGAGAGATTTTGATCAAATAATTCATCCAGAAAACCAGCCCTGCAGGCTGCAGGGATCTTTGTAGCTCTTCACTTGAGGTCATTCACAAAAACAATTCTTTTGGTGGATGTGTGAATTTTTTTTAAATGCATTACTTAGAACAATACATCTCTGAAAAATGAAATGCTTGTGAATATACTAGCAAGCTGACACAAAATCACCCCGTCCATCAGTCAGGCTTAGTAGTGGCTGCTGTGCCTCTGTTGGCAGACATTCTGGTCTGACATAACTTGATGGAGTTGAGGGCATGAGCCATTTTCTCAAAATGTGTTTACAATATTGTGAAGGAGCAGTGTCTTTCCATTCACCCTAAAATTTTTGAGGTTTAAGACAAAAGTTTTATTGTGATCGATGTTATTTAAAATCCATCATTTTTTCTGTATCTAGAGAGTTAAAGTAGCAGTAAAAAAAATCTGAAAATTATCAACCTATGAAGAGCTAATCGTGGTGGTCAACACACCACAAAACATAAAATGAATTCTTGAAATACTGCAAGTAGTCATCAAAAGAATTTTATTTGTCTATATATTCATTTTATTTAGGTCAGCTCTTTCTAAATAGAATTTAGCAAGCAGAATCTTAAATTATTTGAAATAATATTGTAAGGCTTTCCTTTGACTTTCCTATATATTATTTCTTTTAAAATAATTTTGTAATTATTCATAGTAAGAATAATACAAGTCAAGTACAGTGACACACACCTGTAATCCCAGCAACTCGGGAGACTGAGGCAGGAGGATTCGAGTTCAAAGCCAGCCTCAGAAACGGCAAGCCTCTAAGCAATTCAGTGAGACTCTGTCTCTAATAAAATATGAAAATGGTCTGGGGATGTGGCTCAGTGGTTGAGTGCCCCTTAGTTCAATCTCTGGTACCAAAAAAAAAAAAACAGAATAATACAATTTTATTAGTAATATCTATGACTCCAAAAAGTGTAATGAACATTTTAATTGTCTATAAACTTTTATAAATTCTATTTTATTACATTTTGGCAAGGTTGAGCAAGCCATAAAGAGATTCAAAGTATACTTTGATACATTTAGTGTATATGCCAGTGTAAAAGAGAACCAGCTAAGTTTTCCAGTAGACATTTGTAGACTACATTTCTTGAAATGACAAGGGCAATATGATATAGGAAGGGAAACATAAGAAGTTAGAAAGTTGGCTCTAGAATTGAGTCAAAATCTACTGAACATGAACTCAACTTGCCCCAAACTAATGTTATATTTTTTTCTTCCAAAACAAACTCCCACCTGAAGGAAGTATTAATCAGTAACAACCATTTAAGTGTCTACTGTATGCTAGGTGGTACACATATATTCATTCATCCTTAAAATGGCCCCAAGAAATAGATACTATTATTTTCTCATTTTGATAGATGAAGAAGCTGAAGTATTCATTTGCCCCAAGTCCTTCAGACAGAAGGTTGGGAAGCCCAGGTCTCTCTGACCCCAAACCCAGGTTTTTGATCATTGCTGTTTTAGTATCATCATCAAAATTATAGAAAGGTTTTAGATATACAATGACAATTTCAAAGGTTTATCTATAATTATTCTAAAATTTATTTTTTCCTTAAAAATATGGCTCTTTGAGTTTATTTTAGATTCCTTCTAAAATTGAAAAGCATTATGCCTAATTTTTAATCACAGTGTTTTAATAATATAATCAGATTCCAAACATGAAAAATAAATGACAGAACGTACTCCTGGTAAACTAAGATTACTTGTACATTTATGGTCAAGTATTCTTTCCTCTCTTTCCCTTCTTAATGTACAGAGTTAATTGAGAAATGTTTGCTGGAGCATACGACAACCATTTACACTGATAAAATATGAAGTGTATGAAAATTGATCAAACCTTTAATACAAGTCTAAACAATTTCTTAATTAGACATTTCTACCCAGTTACTGAAGTGTAGCTCACTTGAATTGCACTGCTTTTCCCTGAATATTAAAAATGTCACTAATAAACTTCCCAACCCAGAGCATCTGTCCCAGATATATTTGAACAGCTGGAGAATTCATCAGTTCTTGGCCTTTTGCCACTATTCATCCTAAAGAGTGTCATACCTATGAGTGAACTTCAAGATCCATATTATATTGAATCTCTGATATTCAAAACATCAATTTTCTAGTCAGTGCATGTCAATCAGTAAATTATTTTAGAGAGTAGGTGAGGCACCTTATGAATTTCATTTAATTTTTTTTTTGGCTCCTAGCATGCCTTTTAGTATGTCGCTGCTCCATTAAGCTGCAGTATTCAAATGGCTTGAAAGAGTTAATGGAACTTTTGAAACACATTTTCGACTTCCGAATAAGTTAGATCCTGCTGATATAACTTACAACAATGACAAAAATATATATATAATGTAGGGGAGGACTGGGGATATAGTCAGTTGGTAGTGTGCTTCCCTCACATGCACCAAGCCCTGGGTTCCAACCTCAGCACCAAAAATAAATAAATAAATAAATACACACACACACACACACACACACACACACACACACACACACA